AGCAGTTACATGCATAGAGAAATTCCCAACAGATGAAGAGCTCTTCAAAGATGAATGTTGGGGGTCTGTTACCTAAATGAGAAGATAGAAAGGAGCAAGGAGGAGCAGTCTTATCATGCCAAGGCCAAGTGGGTGACTGTTTGCATCTCACATGTTAGAGGGCTACCTAGGAGATGCCCAGAAGGGAGGCCAAATGTAAGATCACAGAAAGTCGCCATTGACCAGCCATCCTGGTGTTCATGACTTGAAAGTCTCCTTTGCATTATCACTGTCATCACTTCCCCTAATACACACTCATTCTGCCTTTGGCTTCTTACAATAGGGTCTTCCCTTCTCTTTGTGTGGAATGAGTGGAAAGCTCTGGAGAAGGTAGAGTGTAGGGACAGGAGGTAATTCAACGTTTAGACATTGCCGGTGTTGAGTTTACTAAAATGCTTCTACCTGGAAATATAAACAGAGCCTACCAAGACCTGTAAAGAGAAAACCCAATAGAATTCATCTCTGTTTAGTTTTGAGCGGGGATGCTCAAGTGATAAAGAAACAGGAAAAAATGTCTTCAGGCTACATCTCCTTCTTGCCAAAATGATGTCCTGAGGGGGCCAAATAGAGTGAGTTTGTGTACGATCAGACCTGCCAGTGGTGTCATATTATGCTGCTTGCACCCAGTACAAGGGCGACTAGCCTAGAGGGCAAGTGAGAGGTTAAACCCACCCACCTTCTATTCACCAAGCTGTGAATACTAATGTAAGGCTACTTCAATATTTTTCTAATTCTTGACCCAGCATGAGCACCATTTTTATAATCCGAATGAAGTCTCTGTGGAGGTTAGCAGCCTTGCTGTATGCAACCCAGTCATCCATCTTTTAACTTGACCACCTACAGTAGCAGAGGGTACAGAAGAAAGTAAGGAGACTCAACACACCTTGTGCCACCTGGAAGACTTTTCAGGTCTGAGACTTCTCACCTGAAGCCCGAAGATTTTACCGTTGAGAATCTGTAGACAGAGTCTCCACATGCTTTCTCTCAGGGTCCTGGCTCTCAGGAATATCGGGAGGAAGAAGGAGCAAAGGGAATTTCTTCTCTCTACCAAGGGCCTAGACCTCAAAGTGGATTTGAGGAGGCTCTTTCTAACTCACACAGCCAGCCTCAAGTTAGCCTTAGGACCCCAAACTTCAGCCAGAGATCCACCCAGTTTCCCAGGGCTATTTTGAGTATGACAGAGGCCCATTCCTCCTCAAAACACATCAAATTCCCAAAGCTGGCAGTCATACAGATGTGACTCCAGCAAAGCCTGATGACCCCACCATTCTCACCAATGAACTGAGTTAGGACAGACCTGCAGAGACTTCTGAGGGGCCATGGAGAAGCTCCATGCATTAGGCAAGATTTTCCGAGTGCCTACTCTGTGCCAGGCACTGGTGGGTCCTAGGATATACCATTGAACTAGTCACAGCCTCGGCCTTCAACAAGCTCCCCTCTCCTCACCCCAGATGAGAGAAAGACAGTAAGATAAGCAAGTACCCCACTAAATGACAGCACTGTGACACACAGGGGATGAGCATTTTTGAGTGAGCAAATGAATAAAGTAATTTAGATAGTATGCTCTCCATGTCTGGGGGAATTGGAGAAGGCTTCCTGAAGGATGAATAAATTTAGTCCCATGAGATGGTGAAGAGAGGAGGAGGAAATGGCATGGACGCATGGGCTGGGCCTAAGAGAATGAGCTATGGAAGCAGACTCCGGACAACTCGAGTCCGTTAGCTCGAGTTGCAGGAGCCAGGGTGGGACTTTGTAGTTGGGACGAGACTGGTGAAGTTCGCAGGGCAGGGCTGTAAAAGGCATTGCAGTCTGTCAAAGTATTTAGATTCATCCAAGGAAATGGAAGAAGTTGGTATTTCCAGGCACCATGTTCAACCCACATGAGAATATTTTGGTAGGACCTTTGTCCCTGTCTCTGGTGCTGATGGAAAAGCACGATGCCTTGTAGCATACAAGTTATATGTGCGCGAGTCACAGCCAGATGGAGACCCCCTGAACGTACAGGGTGAGCTCAGGGAGTAGGGCTGAGAAGGTGAACAAGGTAAGGTCTTCTTCTATACTCACTAACATGGGGCGGGGGCTCACACTTGGAAATCCTTGCCCATGGGGACCTGTGATACGTGATACACCAGGAAAAAAAAAAAAGCTTTAAAATGAGTAGAACTGGGACTAAGTACCTGGGAGGAAAAGGCCCAGCCTAGATGCCCCCAGGAGGTCATGGAAGACATCGTACTCAGCCTCCCATCCCCGAGTTATCTCCAAGCCTGGTTCCCTCCAAGAAAGTCTGATTCACTTGTGAGGGTGATTGCCACTGGCCACCACACATTCACCGTCTCTGGGGCAGAGATACCATGCGTTTATCCCCAAACCAACCCCAGCCTGAATGCTCAGGTTTCAGAGTCTCGCTATCTGGCCTGATGTCATCTCACTCCTGACAGAGATGGTGGAAAATACATTTGACCATTGAACTCCAGAGGTGGAAATAGCACCCAAACTGCGAACAGGAAGACAAACAGGAGAAACTGAATAGGAACAGGGCCTTTACATTATTTGAAAAGAAGTCTCCTTTAGAAAACTCTGGTTGGAGGTCTCTTCTCCCAAAGCAAAGCTAGCCAAGTCGCCAAACAGATGAAGGCACAACTGTGCTGGATTGAATATGGTACAGCCAGACTGTCACCTTGCCTGTGTGCAAAGGCTCATGGGAAAACCCACAAAGGAAGTCCCACCTCCCCAGTCCCAGGAGTTGACAGCTTGGACTGCTTGAGTTATCCTGTTATTCTAGCAGTTCCCTTGTCTCTGTGCCTCACCATCATGACCAATCACTGAGAAAGCAGAAACTATTCCTTAAGAAAGCCCAGAAGTTCCACTCCTTTAGGCCCAGGGTACGTGGGATAAAATGGGGAAAAAGGAGGCACTTGATGGTATAATCTGCCCTAATATTTGTGGGGTCTGGGGCAAGAGTATAGAAGAGGGTCCACATACTATTAGAGATGTCTCAAGTTTATAAAATCGAGTGAGCACACTTAAATAAAATATGTTCTCTGGTCTTGGCAACATCTCCTCAAAATGACCTGAAAGTCTTTGAATTTAGAATCTTGGACCCTTCAGAGAGCGAGGCAGTGTGGGGAGAATCTGGCCCTAAAACTATCAGTTTTTCATCCCAACCCTGGTACCTCCCAGCACCATGATGGGTCTCACACACGTGTGTGTGTGGACACCTTAGCCTGAATGTCCAAGTTCTGTCTAAATAGCTACCCTTGCACAGAAGGGTGTGCACACTTAAAGCATGATCTCCCTGTGGGAGAACATATCCATGGGGGAGACTTACAGAACCCCTAGAAGAGGACTCAGGAACCACTTAAATAGAGAATGCTGGAATGCCGGGTAACCAGAGAGTAGTCTAGGGGGAGTGGTTTCTAGGTGCCCTCTGGCCACACAGGGATGGTTCTCTCTGGAAGAACCCAAGAGCAGGGATCCCCCTTGCTCATATTAAGCATGGTACTTTTGGTGGGGGCCAGAACAGAACACGCTGCGTCATCCTCGCCATGACACTGCTCTGAACATTTAAAGAAACCTATCCGTCATGCTTCTAAACACACAACTGCCCTCCCAAATGCTAGCTCTCCATCACCTACGTTCCTCTTTCATCTGTCCTAGGTCAGCCCCAAACAGGGTTCAGAGGGCCCCTCTTCATTCCCAGTCACCCCAGAGCCCAAGCTCCAAGCCCCTTCCAAAGTCCTCTGTTGCAAGCACATCCTCCCTCCCTCGTCCCTTCAATAGTTCTATCTAGATAAATGCAATACTCTAGCTTCCATTTGTATATTCAGCAAAGGTTTCCTAATCCTCCCTGGGCATTAAGGGATTGGCTAGACTGACTAGACTAGGCTCCCTTCATGAGAAAACCAAACAGAAATGGATGCCCCATCTGTCATGAGCACTAAAAAACCAGAACCCAAAGTTCAGGGCCAAGTTTGAGGATGTGCAGAAAGGTGTGTGTTTTTTCTTGTCATTTGCGACTCTGATGATGGACTCACGTTGCCCACTCTTCCCTTTCTCTTACACCTTACCTACCTACTAAAGGAGGAGTTCTTGCTTGGTAAGTGGATATAATCCGCAAAGACATGAGAGACTTTATTAGAAGCCACTCAAGAGCCTTAGCTACCTTCTACAAGGGGAAAAGGACACACACAAATACCTAGAAAGACGTTTTTGTTTGTTTTGAGTCAGCCTATTTGACTTCCATTTTTTTGTCCCTCCCCCCTTTCTTTTCCCCTTTAGTTGAAAAACTGCTAAAATGTCAGTTTGCGACCTTGACTTTATATTTAAAAAAAAAAAAAGAAAGAAAGAAAGAAAAAAAAAACTCTCATCTTTATTTCATTTCTTTTCCCCACATGATATTTGCTTAGGGTTCTATTCAGGCAACTTTTTCTTTAAAAAAAAAAAAAAAAAAAAGTTAAATTGAGGATTTGGTTGACGTTTAAAATGTGGGCTTTATCTCCTGGTTTTTGTTTTTTAATTTCCAAGATATATTTTTTCCAGGCCCATAGCCCCATTTCTTTTTCCCTTTCCCCTTCCTTTATTTATTTTTTTTATTATTGTTTTAGGTTGAGTTAAGGGTGTTTACACCCCTTTTCTATTGAGTTGTCGCTTTTGTTTGAGTTAATTCATTAGAAATTAAATTTTGTCTAATTTCCTTTTTCTTTAGTTTAACTCTGAATCGCATGCTTTTTCTCTGCATGATACTTAAATCTTCCAGTTATCCTAGCAGGGGGTAAAAAAAAAATCTCTTTTCTGTGGTATTCTTTCAGGAATTTGTGCTTTTGTTTTTTGGCGTCTCTTCTTTCTCCTCTCTCTCTTTCCTTTTGTTACAGTGCATCATGACGGTAAACATTTCTTGGTTATTTAGACACACCTCACGGGCCCAGTGCTTAGCAGTGTCCAATGGGTCTTTTTGCTTTCAGATCACTGGGTCGGGGTCTGCTGCTGACCTCTTTACCAAAACAGCCAGCCCGCTCACCACCTCCAGAGGACGCTCCCAGGAGTACGACTCAGGCAATGACACATCCTCGCCACCCTCCACACAAACCAGCTCAGCCAGGTCTCGGGGCCAGGAGAAGGGGAGCCCCAGTGGGGGCCTAAGCAAGAGCCGGGAGCTCCACAGCGGCAACACCTCCGATTCAGGGAACTCCTTCACCACCTCCTCACCCCAGAACAAGGGGGCCATTTTGGAGAATCTCTCCCCCACCAGCAGGGGCAGGGAGTCAAGGTCAGTGCACCTGGTAGGAGGCCAGAGGGCGTGTCCCACTTCAGCTCCACCATCTTATTCTAGATGCTTCCAGAAAGCCTTTTATTTGCGAGAGAGAAAACTCCACTCAAACTGGCTTTTCTTTCAAAATCGAGGGGGGTACTAGCTTCAGGTACAGCTGGATCTAGGGGCTCAAAATATGTCATTGGAGTTAGCGTAATGGCTATGTCGCTGGACTCCCATGTAGTCAACCGCGGTTCGTGTCCCGGACCCGGTGGCTTAAAACTCATGCCGGGCGCGTGTGCGTGCGTGCCCAAGATCCCGAGAGGAGAATGGAGGAGAAGGGATTGCGGCGTGACCATCCCCCCTGGGGGGTGATTTCTCGCTTTCTGTCTCTATGTCTCTCTCTGTCTGTCTGGCGAGCGCACGCGCCCTACAGTGAAAAATCTCTCCAAAAAAAAAGAGATATGTCATTGGAAATCTGTCATTCTCACAGCCTCCCTCAGTGCTGCTTCCTCCGTCTGTTGGCACCATTTTCAAGCAGACCTTCTAAAGCATGGGTGAATATGCCGAATTGCTAACATGCTATCAATTTAGCCAGCCAATGGAAGAAAAAAAATGCCTCTTTCCCAAAGTTTTCAGCAAAATGCCAGGGCAGATGTTCATTGGCTCTCCTTGGTCCAGCTTAGATCATGCGCCCGCCCCTGGATCAATCACTCCCGCCCAGAGGACCCTGTACCCATGACCAGACTGTATCACGTGCCATGACTGGGAACAAATAACGCAGCCTTCCTTCAGTCCTCTGTAGGAAAAGCCAGAATATTAATGTCAGGAAGGCTGGAGGGTAGACGAAACCAGTAAATTGAGGATTTGGTTGACGTTTAAAATGTGGGCTTTATCTCCTGGTTTTTGTTTTTTAATTTCCAAGATATATTTTTTCCAGGCCCATAGCCCCATTTCTTTTTCCCTTTCCCCTTCCTTTATTTATTTTTTTTATTATTGTTTTAGGTTGAGTTAAGGGTGTTTACACCCCTTTTCTATTGAGTTGTCGCTTTTGTTTGAGTTAATTCATTAGAAATTAAATTTTGTCTAATTTCCTTTTTCTTTAGTTTAACTCTGAATCGCATGCTTTTTCTCTGCATGATACTTAAATCTTCCAGTTATCCTAGCAGGGGGTAAAAAAAAAATCTCTTTTCTGTGGTATTCTTTCAGGAATTTGTGCTTTTGTTTTTTGGCGTCTCTTCTTTCTCCTCTCTCTCTTTCCTTTTGTTACAGTGCATCATGACGGTAAACATTTCTTGGTTATTTAGACACACCTCACGGGCCCAGTGCTTAGCAGTGTCCAATGGGTCTTTTTGCTTTCAGATCACTGGGTCGGGGTCTGCTGCTGACCTCTTTACCAAAACAGCCAGCCCGCTCACCACCTCCAGAGGACGCTCCCAGGAGTACGACTCAGGCAATGACACATCCTCGCCACCCTCCACACAAACCAGCTCAGCCAGGTCTCGGGGCCAGGAGAAGGGGAGCCCCAGTGGGGGCCTAAGCAAGAGCCGGGAGCTCCACAGCGGCAACACCTCCGATTCAGGGAACTCCTTCACCACCTCCTCACCCCAGAACAAGGGGGCCATTTTGGAGAATCTCTCCCCCACCAGCAGGGGCAGGGAGTCAAGGTCAGTGCACCTGGTAGGAGGCCAGAGGGCGTGTCCCACTTCAGCTCCACCATCTTATTCTAGATGCTTCCAGAAAGCCTTTTATTTGCGAGAGAGAAAACTCCACTCAAACTGGCTTTTCTTTCAAAATCGAGGGGGGTACTAGCTTCAGGTACAGCTGGATCTAGGGGCTCAAAATATGTCATTGGAGTTAGCGTAATGGCTATGTCGCTGGACTCCCATGTAGTCAACCGCGGTTCGTGTCCCGGACCCGGTGGCTTAAAACTCATGCCGGGCGCGTGTGCGTGCGTGCCCAAGATCCCGAGAGGAGAATGGAGGAGAAGGGATTGCGGCGTGACCATCCCCCCTGGGGGGTGATTTCTCGCTTTCTGTCTCTATGTCTCTCTCTGTCTGTCTGGCGAGCGCACGCGCCCTACAGTGAAAAATCTCTCCAAAAAAAAAGAGATATGTCATTGGAAATCTGTCATTCTCACAGCCTCCCTCAGTGCTGCTTCCTCCGTCTGTTGGCACCATTTTCAAGCAGACCTTCTAAAGCATGGGTGAATATGCCGAATTGCTAACATGCTATCAATTTAGCCAGCCAATGGAAGAAAAAAAATGCCTCTTTCCCAAAGTTTTCAGCAAAATGCCAGGGCAGATGTTCATTGGCTCTCCTTGGTCCAGCTTAGATCATGCGCCCACCCCTGGATCAATCACTCCCGCCCAGAGGACCCTGTACCCATGACCAGACTGTATCACGTGCCATGACTGGGAACAAAGAACGCAGCCTTCCTTCAGTCCTCTGTAGGAAAAGCCAGAATATTAATGTCAGGAAGGCTGGAGGGTAGACGAAACCAGATACCAATTTTGCCAATCATCTCAGGAGAAAGTCTAACTTAAATTCATCCTAAATCACTGCCATTTAAAAACAGACCACCATATTTACCCAGATGAGTTGAAAACTTAGCTCTACCACAAAATGTGTATACAGGCGTTTATAGCAGCTTTACTCGCAAGTGCCAAAGCCTGGAAGCCAACAAGATGTCCTTCTGAGGCTGCGTGGGTAAATACGCTTGCATACCCACACAGTGGACTACGATTCGATGCTAAAAAGAAATGAGCTAGCGGCCATGAAAAGACACGGCTAAAGCGCAAATGCATATTGCTGAGTGAAAGAAGCCAGTCCGAGATGGCAACACACAATACGATTCCAACAGCATGACCTTCTGCAAGAGGCAAACCTAAGGAAGCAGTAAAAAAGATGAACCAGGGCCAGCCAATAGTGTGGTGGTTAAGACGGCTAGATCCCACATGGCCAGCTACAAAGGTTGAGTCCCAAACTCCAGCAGCTTGAAAAACACTCCGGGTACATGTGTGTGTATGCCCAAAATCCTGAAAGGAGAAATGGAGGAGAAGGGATTAAGGTGTGGCCATCTTCCACAGGGGGTGCTTTCTCACTTTCCCTCTCTCTGTCTCTGTCTGGCGAGCACACACACCCTGTAGTGAAATTAAAATAAGATAAATAGATTAACTATTGCCGAGGGCTGGGGAAAGGGAGGAATGAGTAGACACAGCACAGAGGATTTCAGGATAGTGAAACCATTTTGTGTAATACCATAATGATGGATACATGTCATTTTAGAATCGTCCAAACCCATAAACTGTACCTCACCCAGAGTGAACATAAGCTATGAATTTGGGGCAATGAGCATCAAGATAGTCCATTGATTGTAACAAATACTCCACTCTGGTGGGGGATTTTGACAGGAGATGAGACTGTTCCTGTGTGGGGTCAGGGAGGATTTGGGAATTCCCTGTACTTCCCATTCAGTTGTGTTGTGAAACGATTGCTTAAACTCTCTAAAGGTGGTTGATTTAAATATACACACCCACACCCACACTGCAGAACCTTTTAGGTAAAGTGGGATCAAGCTATCATAGAATACTGAGACTTCTCCATGAAATGAGAAAAAAAAAAAGTTAAGGCTGAACAGAAAGAATTAAGCCATCTTTTTTGTCCAATTGTTTGTTTTGCTTTGTTTGGTTTTCCTAGAGGATGCATTGTATGCTTACCAGAGAGAGACAAAGAAGAGATTGGGGGGAGGGTGAGAAAGCATCCCCAGGGGGAATGCCCACACTGTAATCCTTTCTTCTCCATTCTCCTCTCAAGATCTTGGGTATGCATGCACATGTGCTTGGGTTGTTTTTGTTTTTGTTTTTGTTTTTTGAATAAATTTTTGCCATAGGGTATGTGTGCTTGCCAAAGAGACAGAGAGAGAGAGAGACAGAAAGTGAAAAATCCCCTCGCCTGGGGGTGATGGCCACGTAGCAATCCTTTCTCTTCTGTTCTCCTCCAGGATCTTGGACACACATGCACATGCACCTGGCATGAGTTCTAAGTCACCGGGTCTGGGACTCGAACTGCGGTCAACTATGTGGGAGTCCAGTGACATAACTTTATGCCATCTGCCAGTCCCCTTGTGCCCAGCCTTTTTTTAAACTGCTGGGTCTGGCACTTGAATTGCACCGTCAGCCACCATAACCACATTACAATTTGGCCCTTTTGCCAATCTTAACGCACTTGCTGGATGCAATTTTCCTGCAGAAAACACTTCCATAGAGATGCTTATGAGACAGTTATAATCCAACAAATTCATCACCCCTTACTGCCTCACTCCAGAAATCACAGCAAAATGCTAATCACTGAGGGTACTGTGACAATAAGAGCCACTAAAATTTACTTATCACTTGGTCTGTACCATTCATTCAGTTATTTATCCCTCAATGTGTTATCAGGCAACTCCTATATGCCAGACACTCGACTTGGTGCTGGGGATATAAACCCGGCCTGGTCCTCTTCCTCGGGAGTTTATAATTAATGAGCAGATGCTCGTTATTTATAATGTGGGGCATAGGGGACAGTTGAAAAAGCTTTGCTCTAACACTCTGCAGGCTCACAGTGGGGTCTTCCTTCTTCTAGAGGTAGGAGTCAGCCTTTGTTCAAAGTGGCCAACATTTCTCAACAATATCCAGAACCTTAGCACTGAAGGAGTTCATAGCTTCTTCAAGGACAGAGCACCCTTGGTCCCCAAAGCTAACGCACTTCAGTTCTGGACAAATAGCCTGGCATCCACACACGGACCTGGGCTCTGGTTTGCCTGCACCAGGACATCCCTGGTCCCAGCTCACACCCAAGCATGGCTGGGAGCCAGGGTCAGAGCAAATGGCAGTGACTCTAAAAACAAGCAGTGACGTGTCCAGATGGGAGAGGAAAGACATGCGGGCTGATATTCTGTGTGCTAGTGCATGGGGGGAATGAAAATAATAGCAAGCAACAACTACAATAATAATAAGGGCAGCTCATAGTCATTTAGCCCTAATTATATGACAATGACTAATCTTCCTCAGTTGCTCACAAAATCTTATAAGATAGCTACCATTACTATGCTCTCTGTTCATTTTTGAGAGAGAGATTTTTCCTATAGTGTGCATGTGCACACTAGAAAAAGAGAGCCAGAAAGCAAGAAATCACCCTTTTGGGGGATGGCCATGCTGCAATCCCTTCTCCATTCTCCTCTCAGGATTTTGGGTGCACACATGCACATGGCCAGCATGAGTTTCAAGCCTCTGGGTTCGGGACTCAAACTACAGTTGACTATATGAAAGACCAGCACCTTAACTGCCACACTGCCTGCAGGCCTCATAACCCTTTCTTAACTGACAGGGAAGTTGAGGCTCAGAGTGATTAAGAAACCCAGTTAATAAGTATCAGCATCAGGATTCATATATAGATCTGTCTCCAGAACTAGAGCTAACACGTTGGAGATGTCTAGCAGTTACCTGCTTAATTGGATCTACATGATAGCCAAATTAAATAATTCAGGCCCAGCCTTTCACTTTGAAATATAAATGATGGTTAGACCCAAAGCTATTTATGTCATGCCAGCTCTGAGTGAGGGCTCAGTACATATGGCTGAGTGAAAGAGACACCAGCTGTAAGTCAGGGGAAACACAGACATGAAGGAGGAAGCTGGTGAGGTGGCATGGGCTTTGGAGTCAGCCGATCAGGATTTGGGACTCTGAGTGGCCCTGAGGCGGTAGCAAACTCTTCTGAGTCTTCTCTGTAAATTGGGGATCATAATTACGCCAGCTTCCTAAGGCTGTTGGAAAGACCACATGAAACGGTGTCTGTGTAGTGCCCAGGACACTGAAGAGGTTCAAAATGTTCTCCCCACAGCTATTGATTGATGACCTAAGATGTAGGTGCCAAGTCCTGTGCCAGGTGCTGGGGGCCAGTGTCCAGAGAGACATGAGTCCTGTCCCCAAGGAGCTCAATGTCTGGGGCAGAAAAGACAAGCTATAATTACACGACTAAGTGAGCCTCCTAGAGATGGAAGGAGGGGGGGGTGGTATTTGGTAACACAATGGAGATCACCCAACACGAGGCTTGAGGTCAAGGTCAAGGAAGGCTTCTCAGAAAAGGTAAGGTCAAACTAAAGCCAGACCATGAGTAGGAGTTGCCAGGTGAAAAGGCCAGGCAAGAGGGTGATAGCCAGCCAGTGTGTCCTAAGACCTGACACCAGGGGGAGAATAGGGCTGCTCCAGGAGGGACAAGCAGTCTGTTATGGCTGAGGTCAACAGAGCAAAGTGTGAAGAGCCAGAGGGGAGGGATGAGAGCCTTGAACATATTAGTGATATTAATGGGATTTGAACTTGATGCTTGCCCCAATCCACATGGACATGTTTTGACTGAGAATGTAACAGGAGTCCAGCATGACCCTAGAAAGGGTGAGAATACAGAAGACAGGATCCTGTCCTTGGAGTGATTTTGAGCAAGACTTCACCCTTTTGGGGGAAGTGTCTCAGTTCCTCCATCTCCATCTCCAACTTACACCAACTACAGGTCAGCGTCTTGATTTTTACCACACCTGAGGACTGCTGGCACTCTTACTTCAAAAACTCACTTGTTTACATAAGTGAATTTATTGTGCTTATCTGAAATTTTAAAATTATTATCATTTGTCCTAAAAAGAAGGCAAAAGTATATGAGTAGGCCCAGCCATGGCGTGATAGTAAAGGCTGCTGGCTCCCACGTGGCCGACTGCATGGTTCAAGTCCTGGACCCATGCTTGAAAAACATGCTTGGTGCATGTGCATGGGTGCCCCCAAAATCCCAAAAGGAGAGAGAAATGAAGAAGAGAGTGTGGCATGACAACCCTCCATGAGGTGGAAGGTGCTTTCTCGCTTTCCCTGTTTCTGTCTCTCTCCAGTAAGCACACACACCCTCATACACTCTAGCCAAAACAAAACAAAACAAAAAACAAACCAACCAACCAACCAACCAAACAAACAAACAAAAATAGAATTAAAACAAGGTGTTTAGTTCTAGTTAGTTACAGTTGCCTGCCCAAGGTTCCCAGTCTCAGGAACCTGGTTCTTCTCTCTTTGGGAGATTACAGAAGTGTCAGAGAGGTGTTAAAAACCCAACTAGGGGACCAGCAGTTAGCGTAATGGCTATGTCGCTGAACTCCCATGTAGTCGACCGCGGTTCGAGTACTGGACCCAGTGGCGTAAACTCACGCCGGGCGCTTGTGCGTGCATGCCCAAGATCCAGAGAGGAGAATGAAGAAGATGGGATTGTGGCGTGGTCATCCCCCCTAGGGGGTGATTTCTCACTTTCTATCTCTCTGTCTCTCTCTGTCTTTCTGGCGAGCGCACGCACCCTATAGCAAAAGCCTCTAAAAAAATAAATAAATAAATAAATAAATAAATAAATAAATAAATAAACCCAACTACAGTTCAGTTGGGACTTTCTCATTACTGTAATCAGAAGGACTGAAAAGAGAATAGACCTCTTATCATGTGATTTGATGTTATTTATCATTGTTCTCCTGCCCCTTGACCCAAAATACTCTGAAGTAGGCCTCTGTGGCATGTATCCCACTCTTGCGGGATGCTGACCTAGATCACCCATCTACTTTTAAGGTTATTTATTTATCTATTTATTGCTGTAGGGCACATACATTTGCCGAGGAGAGAGAAGAGAGAGGGAGAGGGAGAGGGAGAGAGAGAGAGAGCACCTCCCACGCTGGTGGCAG